AACCTCTCCAATCCACAATAATCGCTTCCCAGACTTTCTCATGTCTGTGAACATATCGCGCATCCGAGTAGACCAACACTTCTCAAAAATTTTTCTAATCATGTCATTGTGCTGGGGCAGCCAACAAAATTCTTTCTACATTCAAATACATATAATATATAATATATAAGATTTTTAGCTTAAGTAAAATAGAATAAATCAATTAACATAAAAACTAAAACTCATAAATACCTCAAACTCTCTAAACCACATATCCCGAAATTCTTTCGGGACTTTCTTCCAAGAAACGTAAGGAGCGTCAAACCTGCTCCATATGATGTCCCGCATTTTATGTGTCGATTATTTTGATGGGTAGAACCTACAAAAAATAAAATTTTCTCAAATAAATATATAATATAAAATAAAAAAATGTTTGTAAGCTTAAATAAAAGATAATGTACTTACGTGTCCCCCTCATGTGCTATCAACATTCTACCATCTGTCGCCTGCTCTGGTGCAGCCGGTGTCAAAGGTCCAGCTGTAGAAGGCTGATGAGGTGGTGGGGGATAGTATGGTGGAGTATATGGTGGAAATGGATAAGTAGGAGGGGCACCAGCATAAGGTGGGGGTGCGTAGTATGGGTAGAAAGGAGTACTCTGCGTGAGATTTGGTGAAGGAAATTAGGGGTCTACTGAGTAGAACTGTGGGCTACTAGCTCCAGGAGTGGGTAAAGGCTGAGTGGTAGGTTGAGTCTGTGTAGCAGGCTGAGACTGTGTAGCAAGCTGACTCTGTGTAGTAGGCAGATATTGTGTAGCAGACTAAGACGAGGTGGTCCCCTCAGTACGTATTGGCCTAGCTGGTCCTGTTGTAGTGATCTTCTTGGTAACATGCATCCATTGACACAATAATCTATCTTTGTGTATGTCAAACCAAGTTTGAAAACTAACTTCTTTGTCCGATATAGATCTGTAGGAATTAAATTATCTATCGGATTGGTTTTTTAAAGCAGCCCAATGAATTGATTAAAAAATTCACAAGCAATATTATATTCTGCCTTGATGCTTAACATCTTCACAATAATATATAACTCTAAGTGAGTGGTACACTCTTTCCAGATTAGTTGTTGGGCAGCATGTAATAAATCATAAAAATTTTGTTCCTCCGTATTCGATAACTCTTCTATATTTTATTTAATTTGTATTCCAGTTGCATCATGAACTAATTCCTCAAGATTTGGTAGGATATTTTCAGCCTCGGCTATATTACTACTTGTAGAAAGACCGCATTAATAATCAAATTGTAGCTCGTACTCACCATGAGAAGTCCAATACCAATACCGCGGTATGAATCCTCTGTGATACAGATCAACAGTTATATCATCTAGTGTTAAATGCACTAGATTTTTGTGTTTAGAATATTGACATCAAAACTTTCCTTCTAATATAAAACTGGGTAGTTGTTTTGCTTGCTGAATGAAAATGTTTACCCCATTAATGAATTCATCTATTAATATTTTTTTACCTTGAGATAATCGGTTATACATCCAACTTCTTTGATTTATAATATCCATAACCTATATATAAGAGCAAATAAGTAATGGATTATCGCGCTTAAGTAGATCTAAAACTGGTTATATATAGATGTAAAAAGATAGGGTGCTTGTAGAAAATTATGATCAATTTGTATCCTATCTCAAAGGGTGAAGCCACTCATCCAGAGTTATCTTAGGTCTACTTATACCTTTCTTGACATAACCCAAATCTAATACATCTCATCGAGTCATCCGAAGA